ACATGTATATAGTTTGTGCTTATATTGCTTGATCAGTTTTTCATGTCTAGGTCTTATAATTTGAACAACTACTATGAAGATAGTAATATGCAATATAGTAACTATTTTTAGTCTATCTTGTTTTGAAAATTTATATCATTGTTTTATTTTTTTTTCCTTTTAAAATAAAAACATGGGCTTAATGAAACAAGGTAGGCAATAAGTGATCAGATGAGGCTTAAATATACTCATAAGAATGAGAAGAGAAAAAGACAGAATAATGAATAAAGTCCCTGAACAAAAAATATTTATCAAACACAGATGGAAACATACAACAGGAGAAACCCTGCAAAGATAGCCATAACTGATACCTTTGGAAAAATACAAGGCATTTTGGTATTGTTATCGCTTAACATTTTCATTTGATCTCATTATACTCCAACTTATACAGTACCGCAACACTGCAGCTCAAATTAAGTTATTTTTGCTTTTAAGCAGAAGGAGAGTTCTGATGTCTAATTTATTTCAGGTTTTTAAAAACTGTTTTCCCTACATACAAATTCAATATTTAAAAAATATTATCCTAACAGCCTTCGTATGTTAGTAACGCCAAGCTCATGTTTTTAATTAGCCAGAAAGCAGGTAGGCAGTAAAACATATTTGTGTAAAAAGGAGGGATAGTAAACTTAACTTCACACCTCATAAAAAGCTTTGTAGTCATCCCAGTGGTGGCTCTCCGCATCCTGTAAAATGCTTGTAGCACAAACTCTGATGCAGTAGTCCGTAACTTGAAACTGTAGTGTGTTGATGAATTCCTGATATCGTTGGACAGGCCCCAGGAATATGGGTCTGTTCAGAAGGAATGATCAAAGAAACAGAGATTTAAGGCCTGTGCGGTAGGAGGTAACAATCTCCAGTACTACAAATGGTTTTGATTATTAGATATCAATCATTCATTTCCTCCTAGTGCTAAAGCCCACATCCACATTCACTTTCCAAAAAGAAAGCAGAGGCAAAAAAAAAAAAAGCCGGTCTTTGTTTTGCAAGTCCTTTGAAAACGTACATCTGCTGTTCTACAAATATGCACTTCAACTTGAGAAAAACTGCATTCCTGATACATCATTCAAAACTAAAAGTATTTTTTAAACCAGTTATTAGAGATTGGTGCATTACGTAGGCATTAGGTTGTCGTTATTACCAGAGAACAGCATACACTTGTCAGAACCAACCTCTAGCAAGCTATCACACATGCCGCAAACACGCTCCTTTTATTTAAGGAATTGTAATTTTGTAGATGCCAATTATCGCATAAACTGTTTTTAAAAATTCCACAGAAATAAAGTGATTTCTGGCACATTTTGTTTATAAATTCTAGTATGACTCACAACATCTAACTACTTAGGAGAATTAAAGAAATATCACAGCTAGTTCGCACAGCAAGCCAAATTCATTTTTATCTTCAGCTATTTATAGTCCACTGCTTTCTTTCATAACTAAGAGGCTATGAAATCTGAATAAGGAATATAGAATAGATTCTTGGGGGTCACCCTGGACTGTAAGGTCCACACATTCCCTTGGCAAATGGTCATAGGAAGTTCTGGGAGTGTGTGATAATACCTAGGGTAATTTTTATCTCTGTACTGAAAACATAATGTAATTTTAGACACCATATGTGACAGTTAAGATAGGTAGGTGCTTCCTCTTCGAATATCATGGACAGACTATTATTAAGTAGGTGCCCAACCAATATGTTTACCCTGGTCATTAAAATGCATAAAAAAACATTTATTTATGTCACAGGAGTTCCTAACAGCTTGCAGGATTATCAACAGAAGAGATAATTTACAACTCCTTTGGAAATACTTCACTTTCTATCTGGGACAAAAACAAGTTCATTTTGCTATTTTTTTCAGTGTGGTCAGTATAATGGGCCTTACGAATGGAAGGGCTTCTCCTCATCACGTGCTAACAACATGCAGGAGATAGCTGCTCTTCTGCATGTACCTGCATACAGACATCCTTTCTAACTGTCTCTGTGTGTAGTGTGGTTTAATATACCTCGGTCTCCACCTTTTTGACATTTGCTAGTCAAGACAAACAAAAATAATTTGCCACACTAATTATTATTTTTTCCTTCTCAAATATTATCATCAAAACTTCACCCTGGTGATATCTAAAGATTACATGTTTCTTTAAGCATGGCCATCAACTTAATTTAAATGACACTCACTTCTGCGTAGCTCCTTTCACCAAATTATCGTACTGTGTGAAGCGCTGGAAGACATACACGGCTGAGGAGAGGACTGTGTGCAGGTTCTGCAGGGGTGCTCTGGAAGGAACCTCCTTGCTTCTCTGCTGCAGTCTTTCCAGGACAGCTGTTGCCACTTTATAACAGGCCTCCACCAAGTTTGCTCTAATTTCCTGAAAAGAATCATCTCTGCATGCCAGAGCCAGGGGAAGCATTGTGTCAAGTTTTTCCATGATGTCAGAACAAAACTAGGGAGAAATAAATGTGGCACTGAGTTATTTGTATTCTGACAGCACCGTGTAATTTATGTACAAAAGAGCCAAATTCCTAAATAATGAATTTGGCATCAAACATAAATACAGTGACGCAGCTTTATAATAATCAATTTCTCAGTTGCAGAAAGTTAAATGTTTCATGTCAAATAAGGAAATACCAAAATGATGCTTCTCTATATGTAACCTTCAAACTTTATTCTTCCCAGACAGACATTATGGAAAACTCATGACCCAGCTTCACTCAACAAATACCTTTATAGGCAGTTAATAAAACTTGGAAATGTGCCCTTGATATCATTGACATTATTTTTGAAATCATCCTCATCTCATTTTGCTAAATTTCCAAGGAAGATATTTCAAATCAAACACCACATATAAATATCAGTTTAACCTAAATAACTAAGAAGCAACAGAAACAACCTCATGGCACTTTCACGTTGGTGAAGGGTCAGTAACTTTCAGAAGGAATGCGTCTTCATGTTTTACTCTGTCTCTCCTTTCTCTAAGGGTGGTGGGAGGAGAGGGGATGGCAAGGTGAAGCCAGAAGAGCTCCCCAGGGAATGTTCTGGGACCTTAACTTGCTGAAGTCATGCTAGACTTATTGTTGAACAACTATATTTAGCTATATTGACACTACTGACATGGAAGGTCCATTTAGGTCTAAATAAAGATATTTTAATTACCCTAACCAAGAAAAGACAATTAGCTTTTTGAAACTCTACATTTCTCCTAGAGTCATGCAAAGTTATAATCAGAGCAGCTATCCATCTCCCCCTCAGTCCCACAGGCCCTCTGACATTGCTGCAGATTACCAGGGCAAAAAGTGAGCAAGAAGTATAAGTTCTTTCTAGTAGCAGTAGCCCATGGGCAGCAGAGAATAAAACTGTCCTGGATCAGGTCTTTGCCAAGAGACTCCACCACTGATCTATAGGTTCCTCTTCTAAGGCCTTATATTTAAAAGAAAAAAAAATGAAAAGAAACACCATTCTACTTAGCAGCTTGACAGGATTTCAGCTGGTACTTGCCTTTGCAATTTTCTTCGGTTGCTCATCCTCAGGAAACATGTGACTGTCTTTCCAGATTTGTTGCACATGTATATGGCTCAAAGCATAGCTCACAGCTGAAGACCTTTCATTCTGCTCCTGTTGGAGAATTTTTGTGGAAAAATCTTCAACTGTAGCAGTTATGCAATGTGCTATAGGAAGAGACACCTCTTTAAATGCATTTCTCCAGCCAAAATCCAATAAAGTAGCCTGAAATAACAAATTTATATGAAGTCATATTAATCGTAACTTAGTAACAAATATTTCTATAGATACAAAATTACCGCTTTCATTCAGCACACTGCATATAGGTGTTCTCTGATATATTATAAAAACTATTCTTACAACCTGAAAAATATTGCCTAGTGAATACAGCAATATACAAAACATGTGTATTCTTTACACACAGTAGTATACTGACATTTCATTTTAATTCATCAGTGGACTTAATCAAAAACTTTCTTTCAAATTTAATCTCTTAAATAAAGTTCAATAAAACCATCTTTATGAGAACCAAAAGGTACACTTATAATTTATCACAGAGAGCAACCTTTAAATTCAATATATTTAATAAAGTCTAAATTAGATTTTTATAGTCTTTTTATAGTTTATTGTTAACAAGTATTGCAACATGAGACAGCATTCAACATTCAATCTTTGATTTCTTTTTTAATCTCAAAATCCAGCAGGCCAAAAAATAGCAAGCAGAAATAAACTTCTCACAGAAAACACACCACGGTACCTTTCTGGATTTTTACTTGCTTAGAATTTTATTTAGTCTCTCCGCCCATGAAGTTGTAAGCACTGCTACATTTTTTCCAGGAAATGGATAAAACAATCAGCACTGCGCTGTCTGTAGGAGTAGCAAGAGTTGAGGGGTGGAGGCTGATGTTGGCATATTTTTTGTGTTGCTTTTCTTTTTTTTCCCCCTTGGTCTATGTCTCATACAGCTATACAATTTATAAATGCTTGTTTCCTAAGTGTCCTAATGTTCTTGAAAGTACTGAAAACTTACAAGTACTACCCAAATCCTTTGCTAAGTGACTCTGTGTTTTAATGTAAACTTACTGAAGCTAAGACTTCATCAACTTCAAATTCAGAAGACTGAATTATTTTTCTTGATACCAGGTTTTTTTGTTAAACAAACTAGGAGAGGAGTTAAAGGATTTCCATGGTCCACTTTTAAAATAAAATTACTGAAATTATGAGCATTAGTCTAATTTTTGTATGCACACTCTATTCAGAATTAACTTAATGCTCTTTATATATGCTGTACAAAATAATGAAGGTGATTCATTTCTTAGAGTTAACATTGTACAAATCCATGACTCTATAATCAGAAAAAGTAGCTCTTATGCGTATTACAGTCATAATAGAATAAAATGGAACTTGCCTATCTAAAGTCTAGTTGAACCTTTAAAGCCACAGGGCCTTAAACAAATCTTTTGCATCTTACATTTGCATAAAATTAACCAATAAGTGAATATATTAAGTGTACATACTCTTCTTTCTCATAAGTGGCACTCCAGAAGTAGGATGGTAATAGCTCTGTGCCATGATAGTAATTCCTTGAGATGTACTTATGAGAAGAGTGTAAAAAGGAGCCCACTTCCATGAAGATACGGAGGTTTTTGTTTCCTAATTAGGGCATATCTATCATTGGCACCACTCATTCATTCAATCAATAAAATGTTTTCTGGTAAAAAGCATTTTAATTACAGGAGTGGCACTGAAAGGTTTTTCTTTATTTTAATATAGTGAAGATTATCTTTACCTATAATAATCCATGTGTAATTATAATAGTTGTCTAAATTCTCTTTTCAAAACATGTAAAAGTAAACACATTAATTGCTGTTCTTTTTCTTTTTTTTTTTTTTTTTCGGAACCGGGGATTGAACTCAGGTCCTTGTGCTTGCCAGACAAGCACTTATTCTACTGAGCTATCTCCCTGGCCCTATTAATTGCTGTTCTTAAGTGCAAAATTGTAAACCTTTACTTACTGAAACTTTCTTCTAAAAGTCTATTTTCTCATGAAAAATTGCTTACTTCTACTATTCCCAGTCAATATTAGTCATCTTACATATTCCAGTTAAAATAGAGAACACTTAATGCTCAATCCAAGAAAAACAAGGGACTCATATGTCACTGTCTTCTGGGCACAAAGCAGCTATTTGCTGAATCTCTTATCTTCTATTACCTAATACTAATTTCTTAGTATTCCTTTTGATTTTGGTTAATGTACAATGTATAATTATAAATTCCCCCCCCCCAGGATAAAGTGTGAGCGCAGTCCCCCACTGCCACAAATTGTGCAGACGAGTTTCTCACATTTGGGGAAACTGCAGGGGTCAGCACATCCACAGTGCAAGGGCTACACCTCACCCTGGAAAACCACCTTCACTGTCATGGTATCTCCCCTGCCAGGGAAATATATAATTCTGAATTTTCTCATTCCTCTTATTGCTGTCTAGGCTGACATTATGGTAAAACTATATATTAATTTCCTTTTAAAATACTGTACGGGTCAGTATTCCTTAAGAAAACAGAAACCACTCAAGGTATTTCAAAAGAAAGATTGTAATGTAGGTTATTGGCTATACAGGCAACAGAAGATTTGAGAAAAAAAAATGTATGCTTTGAAGCACAACAGATATTGATGCAAAGGGAAACTATAGCCACCTATATGGCTGGAGGAGCACAGGAAGGGGGATGTGCTATGAGAGGCTACAACCTAAAGAGAACTTGTAGAATATAAACCCAAGGAAGACCAGCTGGAATCATGCAGGGAATGCTGTATGATTGGATCAGAGCCCACAGAAAACATAAAGAAGTCTCAGCCACAGTCAGAGATTGTCCCTAAGGGAAACAGTGGAAGAAATACACTTGTCAGTCTGCAACTCCTATACTCCAATCTTCCACTGATGTCTTGACTTAACCAGATCTTCCCAGAACCCAGAGCAAAAGGGCCTAGGAGATACAACTCTCTACAGTATAGGAACAGAGGAAAAGAATGATAATGCATCAGCACAAAAGCACGGGGGGGCACACAAAATAAAGCGGGGTTCAAAAAATTATTCTCTATCCCTTTTGACTTCTATTACCTCACTTTTACACAGTGGCCTACAGCTCACATTCTCAAAGTGCAGACCTTGAGTCAGGATAGTAACAAAGATCTTTGACTGCCATCTCTCTGGGTCATGGAACAGACTGTGTAGGACAACACTCGCACAAGTAAGCTGATTTTTGTCAAAAGTTAATAACCCCATCTTAACCATCCAGCAGAAAAGTATAAAAATGAAACATAAAAAATAAAGCCATATTAATGTGATGAGCTGTAAAAGGCTCAAGTCAAAAACTTTTGACATTGCCAGTCTGAAGGAAAACCCACGACTATTATGGACTACTGGACTATATTGGAATATTTTGCTGAATTCAAGCACCTATACTATTTAAATGACAATGATATACCCTTCTCTGACAAAACTAAACAAAAAAGGGGATAAAAATGAACAACCATTTTGTACCTGTATATTCAAAATAGTTAGGATAGATATACAGCTACATTCTCTTAATTCAATGAATATAAAGATTTGTTCTAAAAGTATTTATAAGCATATCATGTCTGCATCTTGTACAATGAATAAGCACTAAGACAACAATATGCAATATATTAATTATTGAAACTGTCCTATTAATCGGATTTGAAACTGTCTCATTGCTATTTGTTTCTCAATAAAATTATTGAAAAAAAAAGAAAAACCTCAGGGGCAAAGGGGAAATTTAAGACATTATGATTCATGATGGAATCACAGACATGATGGTGCTATTATTTATGAATAAGATTCCTTACCTCTCTTACTGGTAGCAATTGCTCTGGAGGCATACTAGTTTCATTCGGTCTAGGTTTTTCTATTATAATTTCTTGATTGGATTGCTTCAAAACTCCTAGCAGAAAAGAAACAAGAAATACATTTTTTTTTTTTTTTTTTTTTTGCGGAACCAGGGATTAAACTCAGACCCTTGCACTTGCCAGGGAAGAGCTTATTCCACTGAGCATCTCCCTGGCCCAACAAATACATTTGAAAAGAATGAACCACACTAGCTGTGATGAATAGATTCAGATTAAAATTAATTATATACAAAAGCTCTACCTAGAGTGCACACACACACACACCCATCAACATGCAGGCAATAGAACCAACAAGATGTGGGGTATAGCTCAGTGTGGTGGGTAATCTCAGCAATATGGGTAGCTGAAATAGAAGGCTTGACAGGTTTTTTTTGGAATGTATTTAGTACAGGGTCTACAGGATCTCATTACATAGATCAGACTCATAGTGACCCTGCTGTTTTCAGCTTCCCAAGTGCTGGGATTACAGGTGTGCACCATCATGCCCAGTCTCAATAGCCATCTAAGCACACCCTGGGGAGGGGTGGTGGCATGCCAGGGAATCAAACCCCCAGCCTCTGCAACTGCCTAAGCAGGTACTTTAATCCGCTGAGTTATCTGGCCGGCCTATAGAAGGCTTCCCAGTTTTATCCTCACCTGGGCAATTTAGAGATTCAGCAAGACCCTGTCTCAATCAATCAACCAATGGCTCCATATAACAAAGTCCTGGGTTCAACCCCCATTATAAGAAAAAAAGTAGGGTAATAACAACATTATAGTCTTTTTCCATATAATGTACTACTTGATAAAATCTACATAACA